TCGGCCACATCTGGAGTATGCTGTCCAGTTCTGGTCAACAATCCTCAAGAGGGAGGCGCAGAAACTGGAGAGAGTCCAGAGATAGGCAACAAAGCTAATAAGGTGACTGGAGGACCTCAGTTACGAGGAACAGCTACAAAAATTAAACTTATTCTCCCTGGAGAAGAGACGCTTGAAAGGGGATATGATACCTGTATACAAATACCCCAATGGTGATTCTAACTTAAAGAATAAACCTTTCAGTCTCAGGGAGTGTAAGAAGACATGTGGCCAAAATTGGAGGAGAAGCGGTTTAACTTTAAACTGTGTAAGGGGCTTTTCACTGTCAGGGCAGTAAGAATGTAGAATTCACTGGTGGTGTCAGCGAGTATTCATTGTTTAAAAAAAATCTTGGATGGGTGTCTTAATGAACACAATATACAGGGATACAGGTAATGATTTTTGACACTCACTAAGACAGGTTGAGCTGGATGGACAGGTGTCTTTATTCAACCTAGTCAACTATGTAACTAAGTAACCTGACTGACATACTTCTTGCCAGTTATGTTAAAATTCAAAAATAGCACACGAATAGGTTAAAGCCTAAGTTCACTTTTTTTTCTAAATTCCAGCTTCCGTATGTACCAATATATCATTAATGTACCTCTGTTGCAGAAAAGAAAAAGCTGTCCCTATATTTTATGGCAGGCATTTTTTCAGCCTCCAGTTTCTTTTATAGAAAACTGCTTTATTACTTCCTGGTAATCATCCAATAAGACACGATAACTGTTAGTAGATGAGGAAATACTTCACCAGCTGATCTACCTAAAATACACCCTGCACCTGCCATTCCCCTCCAGGAGATTGCTCCCCCCTACCTCTGTACTTACATGCTTCTTCAATATAGTCATTGTTAGTGCGCACCAATCTCCCTAAATACATAGCCAGTGTCTTCCTCTGTTGATTGATCTTTTTATATCTCTCCTTTTTCCTGCATAGATCATTCACTTGGCAGAGCATGACCACAGGATAAGGGTGTCCCTGGAAGTCTGCAAAGTTCACTATACAATCTGATTGTACAATCTCCTTTAGATCTACCATTAACTATATAGTGCAAGGACCTGTCTGACTGGTTACAGAGTGATTAGATATATATGTGTATCCTCTTATATAGTTTTGGTAAATTTAAAAGAGATTGTACAGTGATTGTACAATAAGATTGTGTAGTATATGGCCACCTAAAATGAGCTAGTTGGCTTTTGGTGCAATGAACACGCAGAAGCAAAAGCACATGTTGCAGCATGAAAAAACGTGCAAAAAATATGTGGTAAAACATGTGCAAATCACAAATTGCCAAGATGCCCCATGATCTACTTTGCCGCATTTGTCATACGTATGCTAAGTGTAAATGGGGCCTGAAGTAGAAATTGTTGTGTTTACAACCCCCCTCCCTGAGCTAGAGCTGGCAAGAACATTGACAGATGAATGTCTACCTTTGTATAAAGTTGACCATACACTATGCAATCTGATTGTACAATCTTAGTGCCGTTTCCTTTATATTTACCAAAACTATGTAGTAGGAGGACCCACCAGAACAATCCGTTCAATTTGTATCAAATAAGATCAGGCCCTTAACTTACATAATTGATAGTTGATCTAATAAAGATTGTAAAATTAGATTGTACCGTGTATAGCCATCTTAAAAGAAGGAGTAGAAAAGGCAGTGGAAATAAAAAAAAGAAGAGGTGGTATATTAATAAGTGAGGTATGATCCAAAAGGTACAACACACCCAGGGGCGGACTGTCAACTCATGGGGCCCCTGGGCAATAGGGGATCATGGGGCCCCTGTGTCCTTGCCCAAATTCAAAAAAGCCTATGAAAAAGGTACCAGGGGCATCTCATGGGGCCCCCTACTGACCCCAGGCCCTCGGGCAGTGCCCGAGTTTCCAAATGGTCAGTCCGCCCCTGAACACACCCAATTCTGTGATACAGCAAGGCAGTGCATGATGGGATATGACGTTACCTAGATGGTCACACGATGCTACAGGAAGTTAGAGCTCAGAATGTGTTTTGACATTTTGAACATATAGGTGAACATTCACACCTGCCATGGACTAGGTAAATGAGAGATACACACATTGGGGTGGCTTGGACAAAAAAAACTTTAAAAAATCCTTCTATTTATTTTGAACAGCGACATTCTGTCTGAAGAGGTGAACACAGTCTTTAATAGTAGAATTTCTAATAAATGTCCTTATAAGTCACTTCTGCCACCATGTTTAGAAATATTTGTAGCTGCACAGTGTTATTTAAGTCAAAAATTAAAAATTTCATTATGTGGGCATTTAAGAAAATGAAACTTAGTTCTTTATTGAAATGCTTTATAAATATAACTATGATTATCCTTAATATGAATAAAGATTTGGTGCCTGCTCAATGTATTGTGATATACAAAATGAAAATCCATCAATCAAGTATTAGAAAATCAACTTAGAAGATGCTAAAATGTCCAATGATGTGCATTCCCCACACCACACTGTAATATATTCATCTTTCAAGTGAATACTTGATCTAAACCACTACTACACCTTTTCTTAGGTCTGGCATAGGAAATGGAGGCTTGGAACGCACGCCGAGCAACAAAGGGGGTGTGGTGAGAATTATACATACACAGGCTGCCTGTACACACATGTGCATGTATCATAGACACTTTAATATGTGAGTGTTATTGCTTTACCTTTTATTTGACCATTCATTTTTTAATAAATACTGCACTAAGATGCTTTTTAAAAGGATGTCTCCCACTTTATCTCTCAGTGTGTCTGAGGCTGAGCCAGAGGATCCCCCAGGAGGACCTGGGGATCATCTTTAAGAGAAAAGAACCTTTGTGAAACATTACTGTTTGACCTACCTGTAGAAAGGGGTCAAAATCCTCTGGTGAGTGTACACTTTTTCTATGAGCACAAGTGGTGAAGAATTTGGAAGCTTGTTTGAATCAAGTATTCACTTAAAAGATGTATATATTATAGTGTGGTGTAGGGAATGCACATCACTGGACCTTGCACATAGCACTTAAAGGGGCAGCTGCACATTTTAATTTTAATATTGCTACAAATATGTCTATATGGTATAAAATTATATACAATTTTATCTGTCACAGTGTTATGGTGAATAGGGAGGAGCCACTATATTGGTTGGTTTTCTTGTATAACTATGATTATACAGTATATTGTAAATGAAGATAATCAAAGTTGAAAAAAAATTTGCACAAACAGATGCTGCAACAATTTCCTTTAAATAAACAATTCTTGTAGTACTTGTTGCTTTAGGATTTTGTTTGCATTTAATCACTTGTTACAGCTATTACTTAATGCATAGGGATATCAAATAAATTATGTACTGTAATTAATTTTCTCACCATATGCTTCCATATCATTAGAAATGGGAGTTCCATGCAGTGTTGAGTCTAGAGATGCATCAAGAGGTATCCCAACTTGAAAAATTTTATATAGTTATTTCAAAAGCCATTTGTACTTATAAATATATGACAATCACAGAATAACAGATGGCTTATTTCCCTCTGGAATAACTATAGCTGCATCTGTAAGTGATTAACATTTGTATGCTTTAGGCTTCAGAAGTATAGAAACACAGTAAGTTTGCTTGTCAACAGTACATAGATTTGTGGATAACGACCGTTTAGGATGTGCTGCCATTAAAGAACTGCAATTTAGAAACCCTCGTTATCAAAACTAGGTCAATGTAGTTTCAGCATTTGTTTGCTATGTATAATAAGAATACTACTGCCAGAAGTCATAACAAGTAACACTGCAGGTGAACCTCTTATGAACGAAAAGTTATTTTTTTCCCTACTAGTTAGGAAGTCACTGGTGTTATAAGATAGAAAATAAAGACTATAAATGATGCTATTTTTATATGAGTAGATCCCCCTGGACAACTTTTATGCATGGAATTAAAAGATGAGGCCTTTTAAGTTCAATAATGCAACATATTCTCTATATTTTCTACATACTTAGATTAATTATACTAAAATATCAGAACTAACAAAAAGTATACTTCGGTCTTCCTTAAGCCAAGATAAAATAGAGATGCAAAGGGAAATTTAGTCTATTACATGGTATTCTAAAATTACAGTTACTTTTTTAGTAGATGATGAAAATTGTGCTGATGTGCTGTAAAACTAAATTGAGGCCTTAATTTGTGGATAGGTCACATTCTTTCATGGAAACAAGGATTCCAGCAGTTGCAGCTGCAATCACATTCTTTTAATACTGAAATAAAGGTGTGAGTCGTGCTCACGGAGGTTTTGCAACAAGGAGATATCCCATGACTGAAATGTTGATATAGCCAGTGCAGAGTAAAGGGGACTTTCAGGTGACTTGGTCATGATATCTGTTCTGGACTCTCATATGTCGTCATACAAGCCACACATGAGAATGCACTCTTGAGCCAATTGTCATCAGCTTTCCTATGTAGCTTTGCCATGGGGGTGTTCAATACCTTTTATCTCAGAGTGCTCTGGTTTATTGGGTTATCAAGGGTCAGCAAGTGTGAAGTGGGGCAACAAGAGGGAAACATTCAAGCAAGATGGGTGGTGCACCTCAATGAAAGCTACCACACTGCAAAGTTCATAATAACTATCCTCTCAGTTTCTATAAATTCTTTATTTTTAAAACCAACTCTATATGCATAGTAAATATGGCTGTTGATCATTTCAATTATCTTATGTTTTGAGTTATCAAACTATGAGATTTACATTTACCGTATTTTTCGCTCCATAAGACTCACTTTTTTCCCCCAAAAAAATAGGAGAAAATGTCTGTGCACCTTATGGAGCGAATATGGAGCGGCCTGCCTGGTATTGCCGCCACCGACGTATTAGAATACCTGGCTGGACGCTAGACTCTACTGTGCAGAAGAACCCGCTGCTTTGTCCTACCTGTTCCTCGGTTCAGCGGTGTCCTGCTTTCACTGGCCGTCTTCTCTCCCTCGCACCAGCATCTTCAGTGTGGGCACCCGCTGTGACAGCTTGCTTCTTCACAGCTGGGTGCCCACTGCGCATGTGCTAGAAGCGTGTGCTTTGTAAATGGCCCTGGGACCTGTCACGTGTCCCACAAGACTATGGGGAGGGGGGGAGGACAACTCCGTGGAAGTGGGAGCGGGTATCTGTCAAATTTGGGTACCTGCCCCCCGCCCGCTCCCCAAAGGTCTGCAGTCTCTGGTCATCTCCTGTACTATGTCCGCAGTCTCTGGTCATCTCCTGTACTATGTCTGCAGTGTCTGGTCATCTATTGTACTATGTTCGCAGTCTCTGGCCATCTCCTGTACTATGTCCGCAGTCTCTGGTCATCTCCTGTACTGTGTCCGCAGTCTCTGGTCATCTCCTGTACTGTGTCCGCAGTGTCTGGTCATCTCCTGTAGTATGTCCGCAGTCTCTGGTCATCACCTGTACTGTGTCCGCAGTGTCTGGTCATCTCCTGTACTGTGTCCGCGCTCTCTGGTCATCTCCTGTACTGTGTCCGCAGTCTCTGGTCATCTCCTGTACTGTGTCCGCAGTGTCTGGTCATCTCCTGTAGTATGTCCGCAGTCTCTGGTCATCACCTGTACTGTGTCCGCAGTCTCTGGTAATTTCCTGTACTGTGTCCGCAGTCTCTGGTAATTTCCTGTACTGTGTCCGCAGTCTCTGGTCATCTCCTGTACTGTGTCCGCAGTCTCTGGTCATCTCCTGTACTGTGTCTGCCGTCTTTGGTCATTTCTTGTACTATGTCTACAGTCTCTGGTCATCTCCTGTACTATGTCTGCTGTCAACTGGTTCAGAAAATTTTTTTCTTGTTTTCCTCTTCTAAAATCTAGGTGAGTCTTATGGTCAGGTGCGTCTTATGGAGCAAAAAATATGGTATTTTCTTAACAGTGTTTGTGGATAAATTCAAATAGTATGGGTACAGTTCTGGAACTCTGCTGAGCTTAGTTGCAACTATGCAAAATCCTTAGTTACTGTTAAAATATTTGTAGTTTTATTAATACAAAAAAGAATAAAAATGCCTGAAACATACTATGTATATACTAAACAATTATTCAACATGAAAGCCTCCATTGTGGGCCCAGCAGTCTATGTCTAGTTATAAAAGAGTCATCACATATAAATGGATTGTTATCACAAAGATATCAGGTTATGCTTAGCCCAAGCACTTAACATACCCTATACACCAGCTATTCTCTTCATAGTTGAGTAGTCTTATATACTAATTTACAAGCCCCTGGGGACCCTCTTTCCCACCTTGGTAATAGTGGGAGCTGTGCATTGAGTGAAGGCATAACAGGTTTTTGTGGACTATTCTCAACATGGTAGCTAGGCATAAAAGCGTTTCCATAACCACCTCAGCCCATAAGGTTTTCCCCCCTTCCTGACTGGGGCATTTTTGCTAATCAGCACTGTGCTTTTTAAACTGGTAATTGCATGGTCATGCGACACTGTAACCAAAGAAAATGTATGTCTTTTTTCACACAAATAAAGCTTTCTTTTGGTGGTATTTGATCACCACTGGGTTGTTGTTTTTTTATATAAAGCATAAAAAGACCAAATATTTTGAAAAAAAATAACATTTTCTACTTTCTGGTCTATAAAATATCCAATGAACTAAAATTTAGTCATACATTTAGGCCAAAATGTACTCTACATGTCCAGTGAAAAAAAAAAGTCCCAATACGTCTATATTAATTGGTTTGTGTGACAGTTATAGCGTCTGCAAACTATGGTATATATATATATATATATATATATACACACACACACACATATATATATATATACACACTCACACATATATATATATATATATATATATATATATATATATTACACATACATACACACATACATACAGTACATATATACACACACATACACACACATATATATATATATTAGAATTTACGCAGCTTTTACTTTACTTTACTTTTACTACTGCATATCACTGCCCTTAATGACCCCTTTCTGGAAAGTAGATACCCCAAGGAATTTGCAGAGATGCATGTTGAGTCCATGGAAGATTTTAATTTTTGCCACAAATTTAAGGAAATTGACTTTTTTTTTTTACACAAAGTTGTCACTTAAATGATATATTTCTCACACATGCCATAGGTATATGTGGAATAACACCACAAAACACATTCTGCTGCTTCTCCTGAGTATGGAGATAACACATTTGAGAACATTTTTGGCAGCCTAGACGCATACAGGTAATCAAAATCCAATGACCGTCTTCAGGCTTTCAAAGAGCATATTTCCCCATGTCACTTCCTCTCTACCTATCACAGATTCAGAGGCCCTAAAATGCCAGGATAACCCCCCCCCAAATGACCCCTTTTTGGAAAGTAGACACCAAGGAATTTGATAAGAGGCATTGTGGGTATTTTTCAGATATACTTTTTGTCACAAGGTTTTGAAGAGAAAAGAAAAAAAAAAATTTTTCTTCATATTCCAAAACTTGTGGCAACAAATAGCATCTGCAAAATACTTACCATGCCCCATAGTAAATATCTTGGAGTGTCTACTTTCCAAAAAGGGGTCATGGGGGGTTTATGTTTTGTGCAAAAGCACGTTCTCGCCTTTGAGAATCCAGGCATCACCTGCCTGGAGTTTGCATGTTCTCCCTGTGCCTGCGTGGGTTTCCTCCAGGTACTCCGGTTTCCTCCCACACTCCAAAGACATGCTGGTAGGTTAATTGGATCCTGTCTAAATTGTCCCTAGTTTGTGTATGTATGAATATGAGTTAGGGACCTTAGATTGTATGCCCCTTGAGGGTTAGGGACTGATGTGAATGTACAATATATATGTGTAAAGCGCTGTGTAAATTGACGGCGCTAAATAAGTACCTGAAATAAATAAATACATATTCTGTGTATCCAAGAAAGAATCCAGGCCTTTTTTAAAGCAATCCACTGAGAACCAACTCTTAAGAGAGTCTATTCCACATTTTCACAGCTCTTACTGTGAAGAAACCTTTCCGTGTTTGAGATTAAATTTCTTTTTCTCCAGATGTAAAGAGTGCCCCCTTGTCCTCTGTGATGACCTCAAGGTGAATAACTCTATACCGAGTTCACTATATGAACCACTGATGTATTTATATATGTTGATCATATCCCCCCTTAATCTCCTCTTCAGTTCCTCTAATCTTTCCTCATAGCTGAGCTCCTCTATGCCCCTTATCAGTTTGGTTGCCTTTCTCTGCACTTTTTCCAGTTCCCCAATGTTCTTTTTGTGAATTGGTGCCCTAAATTGAACTGCATAGTGTGTGGGCAATCTAACAGTAGTTGACCCTAACTGGGAGGGGAGCTAACTGGCCCTGATGCTATCTGATGTTGTTAGTGGCAGTAATACAGCAATCAGTGAAAAATGTTATATATTGGCACTGAGCTAATGGCACTGACTGGGCAACAGGGATGATCAAAGGGTTAATAGCAGGTGATAAAAGGGTTAAATGTGCTAATCTAATTTGTGTGTAAAATGTAGAACTTTTGTCACAGTGCGGTGTTCTCTCCTCTCTCCCTGGACCTATGGGGTAGGGGGCAGCAGGGGGCAAGTGCACGCATCCTCATACCTGGAAATAGAAATTAATGGAAGGGCACATTGCTTTCCAGAATCACCTGCAGTGCAGCGCTTGCTTTGAACTGTCATGAATGCGTTAAGTTCATGACAGTTCAAAGTACTGGTGATCTGTGATTGGCTACAGATAATCACATGGTACAGGGTGCTGGGATTGGCTTATGTACCATGTGACAGCTGTGGGCCACCACACCTCACCAGGCAGAGAAGCAAAGCTTTTAAGAATCAGATTGATTCATAACAGGTTTGCTAACATTATGATGATGTGATCACATAGCGATCATATGATCATTGCATCCCAATTATCGGGATCCGCATTCTGCTGTGTCTGGTGTTAATACAACCAAAGCAACATGCCAGTATGTTGCTCTGTCTGTACATGCTGGCCACCTGTAGAACAAGTAATGTGGATTGTCGGCAAGTGGATGATCTCTGCCTGATAAAATAAATGGAAATCATTTTAGAGGTATTTGGGTCCAAACCTTTTTTGTATATTATGTAAACTACAAATATTTTAACAGTAACTAGGGATCATTTACAGTATGTACCTTTAAAGTCCCACAAATAGAGTTTTTGCTTGGTGTTAAACTTTAAATGAAAAAAAAATATGACCTTAAAAAGAGGGGCACACAACATTTGAAGTTATATTGTATTTTTTAAGTCGCTAAATGTTAGCCTACCTAAGACCTTTTCCTACCACCCAGTTTTGAAAGTTTGTTTTCAAAGTTGTTTTGCTGAGACTTTTATACAGCTTTGCTGTAAATGCCAAATTCAAACACAACATGATCGTTTAAGTCTAAAATGACAGATTACCATGCAACATAATGCACAAGTCTATATAATTTCTACTTTCATGGCATTAAAGTTATGTGTTATTTGTGCAGAAAGCACCTCATGTTCTCATTTTTATGTAACACACAATGAACATGTCTTTTTGTTAATGCACCTGGCAGAAGAATTCTTTGCCCAACATACCAACTTAAAGCTATTTGAATAACAATACAATGCCAAAGAACAGTTATTTTAGTCTACTACTGAAAAAAAATGGATTCACAGTTCTATTCCCATCTTAAAAAATAACAATAAGATGCCACTTTTCAAGAAAAAAAAACTCCCGTTCTATTGTTCCTAATCTCCTTTATAAAACATTTCGAATTACATTGTGGTGATGTTTCTGTACTTTTACAAGGCTATGCCGCACTTGCCTATTTCCAGTGTCTGCAGTCTTTGTTCAGAAACATGCACAGCATGTTTAGACAATGACTTTGCAATGCCAGAAAGGTTTCAAAAAGTCACTGTAATCAACAAACAGAGCATCAGACAGTCATCTTATTAGTTGGACTGATTTTTCAGTGGAGGATTATGCTTCTATTTGAGGAACTCCACTTTGTGATAGGGCTTTCCTGACTTTCCTAAACTACAGAGCTCAATCAGCAATCCCTGCCTGCTGTTTAAAATATCTCCAGTGTCTCACGTCCATCCATTTTTTCTAGGAAAGTCAGTACAACCACATGCTTTACAGACAACAGCACAGGAACTTTAGCAGGTATGTATGTCTGCAATAAATTCAAACTATGCTGACAATATCCCTAATGAATACAAGATAGTTTACAAAGAAAAGCCAGATTGGAATAGTCATCATAGTGAATTAAAAATCTAAAAAATGTTACAGTCTACTTTTTTATTGAAATGTATATATTGATAGGATCTTTGTTTTGGTATGGCCAGTAATTAAAGGATGATCTTTTCTATCTATGCATTTTCTTTTAAGATTGTAAATTAGTTTGTGTAAGGTTCTTCATCCTAGTGTTTCACATACTTGGGCAAGTTTAGCTCCTGTACAATTTTTTAACGTTACAGAAAATGCGCTGTTCCTAGTGAGCAAGCACCTTTTCTTTTGAGGAGCTGGATGCATGGTTCAACTATCAGGTAGAGAGCAGGGGTGGACTGACAACTCATGGGGCCCCCGGGCAATAGGGGATCATGGGACCCCTGTGTCCTTGCCCAAACTCAAAAAAGCCTATGAAAAAGGTATCAGGGGCATCTCATGGGGCCCCCTACTGACCTCGGGCCCTCAGGCAGTGCCCAAGTTTCCACATGGTCAGTCCACCCCTGGTAGAGAGGAACGTGACTGTACAGTAAATACTGGACAGGGTAGCATATATTTTTTAGTTTCTTTCTTTCTATGGAAATTCTGCCCAAGTATTT